CCCCCCCCCCCCCCCCCCCCCTCTGTCCTCCCAACAGGGATCGACGTCAAAGACCCTGGACTCGGCAAGTGCCCAGTTTGCGGTCTCTGCACTGGTGACCACGGAGCAGCTGCTGGCGGCCAAGGCCAAAGACGAGACGGCACTCGGGCTCGGCGTCAACGGGGTTCTGCCGGGTTCTGGTGAGCAGCCCGTCCGTCACCGCGGTGCCGATGCGCCGCAAAGGCTCTGATGTACATTACGCTCTGCATCACCTACAACTAATTTCTTCCCGCTGATTTATCCTTCCAGGGGTCTATAAGACATCACACCATGCCAGCGGCTCTCCTGCCCCTGTGGCTCCAACCGGCCAACCAGCTGCAGTTGCCGTGGCAACAACCACCACCACCATGATGGCCGGCCCCACCTTCCACCAGCCCCCGGCCAACAACGGCACGACGGTGACTCCCAGCTCCGCCGCCGCCACTCAGGTCCTGATCGGGAACAACATCCGCCTGAGCGTGCCCCCACCAGGGGGCGCCCTGAGCCCCATCGCGACGCTCAACGCGCGCCACATATCCCGGACTATAAACGCTGTCCCGCCGTCCGCCTTAAAGCTGGCCGCCGCGGCCGGGAACTGCCAGATGCCCAAGGTCACTGCAGCGTCATCGTTGGACATGGCACCCAGGTGAGCTGATGGAGGCCATGAGTGTATGAGGAAGAGGTGATGATGATGATGATAGGACTGTAGAGACATTCCAGTATAACTCTAATGCCCCCCCCCCCCGCAGGGAAAACCACGATCAAGAAAAGACCACCCTGAACAGTATATCAGACAACACAGTGGCCATGGAGGTGACGTAGTGCACAAGAAGCCGGGGACGCGGCACCTCTTCCGGGTACCATGGCGACCACGGCAGGATGGCGCCACGTCCGTCTCCAAGGCAACCGTCGGGACTCTATTGCAATGCTCATCTCTCGTGCTTTTTCCATTTATTTGTTACTGTTAATAAGAGGCATCAACATCTGTAAATTATGAATATGGCAATTCTATGTACAGCAACCATGTATTTGTAATACACTTGTATATATGTTACTTGAATACAGAATTGTTCATTTGATGTTTTGCACTTGGGGGAGAAAAAAAAATTGGAAAAAAAAATTGCAACTGGTTAAGTAAAAGGTGAGAGTGTAGCGAAGATGTCCTCACATCATGTGCATGGTGCAGAACCTGCTGTTTTATCTATTTATTGTGCTGTGTTTACAGTTTCTTTGTACACTGTACCCTCATTGGTTCCTGTGCTATAGTGAATGTGTTAGGTAGCTATGGACTCCTTGGTATTTTGTATATTTGTGAACATACCCCCGGCCCCCGTCAGGGCGTCCGCTTGTTCTGTGTATCACGTGGAAATAAATGGTGACATACATACAGAATCGTAGGGGGGGAGGGACAGGGGTTAGGCATTGGAGTTGTCAGTGGGCAATCGCTTATTGGGATTTTCTGTTTGTGTCCCAAGACGAGTAACAAAGTAGGAATGAAGTCTCTTCCCAGAAGCCGATTAACAGAGCACTATTTTTCTTTAATTATTGCTGCTTTTTACGTTTTTGTTTCTAGAGTTCATTTAATGAGCGTTTTTTGTTACTCCTCCCCTCCCATTTTTATAAAACATTTAAAGTTATTTTTGTATCTCCCCCCATCCCTCCCCCCCCCATTGTGATTGTATGCCTGTTCTATTGAAAGACTTCATTCGTTTTGTTACTTGTTCATAAAAAGGATATAAGGGAGATAGAGGCAGTACAAGCTGTACGTGTATCATCATTCCGATTTCTAAAAAACAAAACGGCCTTTTTTTTCCTTTTGGGTTTTTTTTTTTTCTTTTTTTTTCTTTTTTTCCTTTTTTTTCTTTTTTATTTCTCCAGAAGGCTGAAAGGCCACAACCTGAACTATGGGGTGCCTTCCTTTGGAAATGTTCGACCTCTCTTCTGTGAAGAGTACGGTACCAGGCGAGGCTGCGGGTCTCTGTCGGTGCCACAATCTGAATGCCCGCTCCAATGGCATCATTTAATCCCTGAGGTTTTCTAGTCCCACCTGGAAGACGGAAAGTGACACAACTCTCACAAATAAATCCCAGGGCATTCTATGTTGACCAGCCGACGTGTCCTGTGATCTGTGTGATTAGCCAGGGCTTGTGGGTGGGGGGTTACGGTGGCGGTTTGAAGAGTTTCTTCTTGATGCCGCTATGTTGCGTCAAACTGCAGACATGCTCGAAAGACGGCTTCCTGTTGCGACCGACTGACACAATTTGAGCTATGTATGGTACCTACCACAAAAAAAATCTACACTTGGTATTTTGCTCGTCTGTAGCTCGCTGTCACCTCTGCTCTGCGGAGTCCTGTTGTGCTTTAGTGAAGGATATTAGTTTGGCAGGAAATCTGAAGACCTCTCTCTGGAAATAAATTCCTCTCAGAACGGCACAAAATGCCGTAACTGCCGTAACAGTGTTTAACCTTGCAGCAGTCTCTCTAAAGGGGAAAGAATTTCCCTGTTATTTTGGCTTGATAAGCCCTGTATTACTCTGCTGTCTGCTATTAGACTACTGCTTGTATGAACAAGGGTAACAACAGATGGAAAATTTGCAGGATCAAAATGAAAACAAACGTTTAACCTTCTTCAACCTTCACATCAAATCAGCCAAACTTGTCAGTTGGTTTTGGACGATTAGTACCTTACAGCTGGTTCTTTGCTAGTATACACTAACTACAATTGCTAAACAGACCAGGCCAAATGCCTTTCTAGCTGGTTAAAAATATTTCGCTAGGGTTAACTTGATGAGACTTGAAGTTCATCTGTGTTTGAAAATAAGCCTATTTACAATCAGGTCTCTATGACCTTGTGCCGTTTTTAGGGTCGACCGGCTGGAGCCTGGCTTCCTCTTCGATGTAACTGCTTCATTTCAGATGCACTTCGTCTTCACCATGGAAACTTCAGCATTTCTGCAGGTGGAGACCTTGGTGGCTGCATATGTCGCCTGCTTTTTTTCCCCCCCGATGGATGTTGTGTTTTCTGAGCTGTTTTCTACTTTAATATATGTGCCTTTTAGCTATTTGGACATTCGGTACGAAATATATCGAAAAATTTCCCCACGCCTGAATGTCTGATAATGTTACATATGGCCCTTTTCAACCCTTTTTGTTAGAAGTCTCTAACATCTGGAGATTTAAAATCGCCATATGTCCATTTTATTCTACTAAAATCCAGCTTAGCCTTGCAGTTAGAGCCTGGACTCGGCGTCAAAAAACTGAGTGGGGAGAAATAATGACTCTTTTAAAGCATAGTGAGCTGACATGGAAGAAATGAGTATCAACTTCAGTGAAGGTAGAAGGTTCTGAAACCACCAGAAGAACCACTGATCGTCTCTGGGTGACTCTTGTGACATGATTAGTATGAGAATGGACAAACATCTCTACATCTGGATTTCATGGATATTATATGCATCCATTCATCATCTAACCACTAATCTATTACTGGGTAGTTTTGAGGTTGGAGGTTTGAGGTTGGAGTTAGCCCAGAGTGAAATGCAGGGATGCAGCATGGATGGGTGTATTGCATGGATACCAGTGTATTTCAGGGTGGGCACACAGACACACACACAAAAGACAGTTTTAGAGACCCCAAATTTCTGCATGCTCACAGCGGAGGTGAATGATAAGATTATATATTCATTATTCATTTCTACGGGTATTTCAGAATATTTGTCCTGGACGTGGTGCAAGATTAGTTGGAAAGAGACCTAAGGAAAAGTGCAAAATTGACTTGTTAGGGCCTGTATTTTCACTTTCCAACCCGCTGTTCTTGCAAAGCGATCTTTCAAAACCCAGATGACCATCGGTGGAGACGTGAATTGGCTTTTGTGATAGTCCCCCTCCAAAGAGAAAGCCTTTTTTATCGATGGAACATTTTAGACGTCCTGATTAAAGTCATACTCGCTACTCTGCAATCTGTCTTTGTGATTGCCGGAGTGGGGAATTGTATCGCCTCTGCTGTTTTCTTTTCACACGGGCATTATTTAAGCCGGCTGCTCGAAGCTCCTGCTGAGACTTTGTGTCTTGCACGCTCCTGAACGCTGACTGGAAACCACAGACATCGCGCACACCAAAGGTTATTTACCTTCATGATGTAAAAACGGCCACTTTGTTCTGCACCTCTTAAGGTCTAAGAAGTCTTTATTTGAAAGTAGAAATCTGAAAGACAAAATTCCTTTGTAGGCGTAGCATGAACATTCGTCATGCACAGAGCAATGAAACAATATGAAAGTCTATCTTCAGTCCACCTGAGTTTTGCCAATTTAATAGAGTCACCCCTCCATTCTTCACTTACTCTGTCAAGGTTCAGGGCAAAAAGAGGTTTTCTTTGCCAAAATTAATTATTGTGCTATTAGTTCAACCGCCAGAGTTGAGACTAGAGTTTGATTGGTTTCTGTATCTGGGGATTCGTGTCTTCGTATCAGTGGTCCTCTTCACCGGTAGTGATGCAGGTTCTGTTGGTCATGTTCCCTGGATCTATGCCACATGGAGTTACCACCTAATCCATGTCAGGGAAGACACTTTGAGCCAGGACAGGGTTTGTAAACTGCCATTTCAATCAAAGGGACCTGGATTTCACTATAGCACTGAGTTTATGCTGGGTACTGATTGGTCAGTCTCCTATAATCATGTATCTGTCACTAATGTTAATCTGAAACAGCTGGATGAGTCTTTCAATCAAGGAAACAAACCAGCAAAAGCACAAGAAGAACTGACCCATTAGGCCAAGCACAGGAGCCTTCCGGATTTAAAGCAGTTTTTAAAACCTGAGTTAGCTCAAAGTGTCCTCCTGACATGAATTAGGTGCCACACCAGGGTTGAAATTAAATTAAGTTAAATGATGCTATTTATTTGCTATTTGCACAAATACATTGGAATGCTTTTTATACACACACACACACACACACACACTGCTCAAAAAAATTAAAGGAACACTTTGAAAACACATCAGATCTCAATGGGAAAAAAATCATGGTGATATCTATACTGATATGGACTGGGTAATGTCTTAGGAACGAAAGGATGCCACATTGTTTGATGGAAATTAAAATTATCAACCTACAAAGGGCTGAATTCAAAGACACTCCAAAAATCAAAGTGAAAAAATGATGCGGCAGGTTGGTCCATTTTGCCGAAATTTCATTGCAGCAACTCAAAATCGTACTCAGTAGTTTGTATGGCCCCCACGTGCTTGTATGCATGCCTGATAATGTCAGGGCATCCTCCTAATGAGACGCCGGATGGTGTCCTGGGGGATCTCCTCCCAGATCTGGACCAGGGCATCACTGAGCTAAGGTGCAACCTGGCGCCTTCGGATGGACTGAAACATCATGTCCCAGAGGTGTTCTGTTGGATTTAGGTCAGGCGAACGTGGGGGCCAGTCAATGGTATCCATTCCTTCATGCTCCAGGAACTGCCTGCATACTCTCGCCACATGAGGCCGGGCATCGTCGTGCACCAGGAGGAACCCAGGACCCACTACACCAGCGTAGGGTCTGACAATGGGTCCATGGATTTCATCCCGATACCCAATGGCAGTCAAGGTGCTGCTGTCTAGCCTGTAGGGGTCTCTGTGTCCCTCCATGGATATGCCTCCCCAGACCATCACTGACCCCCCACCAAACCGGTCATGCTGAACAATGTTACAGGCAGCACAACGTTCTCCATGACTTTTCAGACCCTTTCACATCTGTCACATGTTCTCAGGGTGAACCTGCTCACATCTGTGAAAAGCACAGGGCGCCAGTGGTGGATCTGCCAATTCTGGTATTCTATGGCAAATGCCCATCGAGCTCCACAGTCCTGGGCAGTGAGCACAGGGTTCACTAGAGGACGTCGGGCCCTCAGGCCACCCTCATGAAATCTGTTTCTGATTGTTTGCTCAGAGACATTCACACCAGTGGCCTGCTGGAGGTCATTCTGTAGGGCTCTGTCAGTGTTCCTCCTGTTCCTCCTTGCACAAAGGAGCAGATACTTGTCCTGCTGTTGGGTTAAGGACCTTCTATGGCCCTGTCCAGCTCTCCTAGAGTAACTTCCTGTGTCCTGGAATCACCTCCATGCCCTTGAGACTGTGCTGGGAGACACAGCAAACCTTCTGGCAATGACACATCAATATGCACTATCCTGGAGGAGTTGGACTACCTGTGCAACCTCTCTAGTGTCCAGGTATCACCTCATGCTACCAGTAGTGACTCTGATCGTAGCCAAATGCAAAACTAGTGAAAAAACCGTCAGAAAAGATGAGGAGGGAAAAATGTCAGTGGCCCCCACCTGTTAAACCACTCCTGTTTTGGGGGGGTCGTCTCATTGTTGCCCCTCTAGTGCAGCTGTTGTTAATTTCATTAACACCAAAGCAGCTGAAACCGATTAACAACACCCACTGATCAGATGAATATCCAAGAACTTTAGTTTACTTGATGCTATACTCTGATTAATAAGCGTTCCTTTCATTTTTTTGAGCAGTATATATATATATATATATACACACACACACACACACACACCCCATCTTCCATACCCCAAGTTATGGGTCCAAGCACAGGGCACGGCTATTTATCCAGTGCCCCTGGATATTTTGGGAGGGGGGGGGGTTGGCAAGTGGAGACATTGGTGCAGTGACCCAGAGCCTACAACGTGTTTCCTGCTGGTTGGTGGGGTTTGTCCAGGTAGAGTTGAATGGGCACCTACTGTCAAGCGCTCATTTTCGTGCACAAAATACACTCTGCGCCACAAAGCATTATTTAATGGTGAAATCAAGTTGTTGCATTTCGTCCAAATTTCAGTAACATTTTGTTCACGAAAGGATAAAGATTTCATTTTCTTTCATGTACAGAATTCAAAAGGAATGTTGCATTTTGTGCACAGTTGATATCCACACCTTGCATTTCATGGGCAGAAAGCTGAATGTATCTGCTTTCATTAATAAAAAGAAAGTCATTTCGTTCACAAAATGCATTTCATACATTTAATTCATGTTGTCTATAAAATGCACGCCGTGAATGAAAGAAAATGTCCACAAAATGACTTTCTTTCACTCACAAATTGCATCTTGTATACAAAATAAATTAA